GTAATGGCTGTGGTACCGTTTGAGAGAACAGCCGTTCCACTCGGTTCTGTACGCTCGTTAGCAATGGCCATCAGTGGCCGTGAGCTTGGGCGATGTATACCGCTGGGGAAGTATTCAGCAATTCCGTTGCGCAGACCGGTTCGTTCCAGAAAGGACCACCGTCCTGAAGATTATTACCGATGTGCTTGCCGGGCAACGCTTATCTGCCTGGGCCGGGAGCGCGATTTATAGGAGGCCTTCGCATAGGAGGGGCGGGCTCCCTGGCCTGGGAATGACGAGCATGCACCCGCCGAGCTGGACATAGAGTGTGCGCATTGGGCACAAACAAAGAGCCGCTCGACCGCTTTCTTGGCTTGCGCGACTCACAGCGTCCAACCCAGGGAATAGACCTACAAAGAGTACCGCACGCCTGCAAGCTCCTTTTCTGATGAGTGTGGGAGCTAACGCAGTACCATGCCTTCACCTTATTGTGTTTTGTGTTATGGCATACAATATGACGCCGACATCGTGGCTCAACGCAGCCTCAGTCTGCATACGTGACGACATCGTGAGCCGGAGTGAATCTCATCTCGCAAGTCGCGGTGTATGTCAAGAGCCTGATGATTGCACGGCTGGACATGGTTGTGGGTTGGGCATCCGCGGTCGGGATTACAGTAGGCGTAATTGCCTTTTCCGATCAACCTGCAGATGGTCCCATGGCCGGGTTGGCGCTGGTACTAACGCGGCTGGAGCGAGTCGTGCCGCCTGTTGGTCTCTCCTCTCTTGCAACTCACCCCTTGGCCCCCAAACCCCTCAGCTGGGTTTGTGTAGTTGCGAGTTGCTCAGCTTTTCACGCCGGTTGGCGCTGTATCGGCCGGGTTTCAGCGATCTATTCGTTCGTCGACCCCAAAATCGTCGCACGTTTGCCTTCTTTCGACTGATGTGACCCCATTGGTAAAACTTGTCTGACTCGTAACGGAACAGGGGCCACACTAGCCTCAGCGCCTCAAACGTGGCCGAAGTCCAGCACGTTGACGCCGGGCAGGAGTTTGACTCACCAGACGAACGGCGTGCAACGCATACGGCAGCTTCCAATTGGTGCACGAAAACTCTTGCATATGGTCATCCATTAGCTCTGAATACCTGTCCTTGAATGCTCAAGCCGGTGGCCGGGAAATACCAGCGACGGCGCTCTCTTGCTTCTTCTCTCTTTACCCGTCAGTTGCCGCGGTCACCGCGGACTGTTTGGCACCGTCTCTATCGCCATTTGCCAACTGAGCTTGCTGCATTGGCGAAGCGGCCGAATCTGACGGCCGCTACTGGATATTGAGAACCTTGGTCGTCGCCGGCGTCTTGAACCAGGGCCAGGGATGACAATGCCGCTGCCAGATGTTAGTGGGTTAGGAAGCCTTTGGAGATTTGCGGCGGAATGCCTGGTCAACGAGATAGGTTGCTCCACACCGGTGAAGCTCCACCCTAGCACCAAATACTTTACTCGTGTTTCGCTGTTGAACAGACACGCGTGCCGGATGGATCGCATCCGCCGGAAGAAGTCAAGTGTGTGGAGGCTTCATTGCTAATGGACCATCGTACCCCTGTGAACCCCAGCCGCAGCGCAACACTGGGCCAGGGGAGGCCGCCGCGGGAGGCGGGGCGGGCGCCAGGCGGTGAGCGTGCAAGAGAAGAGAGAACAGTGGCGGCACGACTCGCTCCAGACGGGCTACCACCCGCCCGACTCCGCCTCACGTCCGCCAGGAATGGTAAAGCGTCCAAGGTAACACCCTACCCCGCTAACCCGACATTGACGCAAGCCACAGCGAGAGCATACGTGGTACAAAACATGTGTCAAGCTAGTTTGCTCATGGGCTACGCCTAGCCAGGGTTAGGAAGGTGTGCGAGGGAAGAAAAGAGAAGGCAGCGCAACTACGTGGCCATTGGCGCCGTGTTTGTCGCCTTCAAGTGTCCTCATCAAAGTCTGCCACTAAAAAGCAAGCTGAAAGTTCTCATGGCAGTAGCCCGGACCATTTCCATCCATGCCCGAGGATGCAGATGGCAAGGCCTACAATGCGCATGGCGCAACGGGTCCAGACCTGTCGACTGACGTCGTGCCAGGAGCGGTCAGTCCTCGAGTTCATGTGCGTGGCAGTATGCTACAAGTGTATTAGTATTGACTAGCTTCTCAGGACTCTTGGCCAAGGGGAAGAAAGAGTGTTGAGAGAGGCTCGGTATGGACAAGCACAGGGGGTATGCAGTAATGACTCCAGTGTCGGACCGCCCACCCAGGCCACTCAATCCGAGACCTTGCTCGGATAGAGCACTAGAACAGCTCATCACCGTGCGATGCCGTGTGGAGAGTACATGCCCGAAGTTGAGCGGGGATGACTCTAAATGTAAGGCAGGGAATGCCTGGTGTGCGTTAGAGAATCCCACTGCATCCTGTTGTCATGCGCCCGTATCGTGGCTACCACGCAGACTTACATGACGTCGGTAAATTGTTTCACCGCGCCGCCGTCAGGGGTCTCCCGGGGTTATATAAATGAAAAGTTCGTGCAAAGAGAGCAGATAGCTCCTCAGAGATCAATACAGTCACTCTGGCGCCCGTATGCTGCTCAGCACTCTTTGCTGCTAATCCCACATGACACCTGTCATCATCTTTCCCACGATGGTTCAGCATCTCATCACTGACATTGCTCTCAGATGCGGTCATATAAACCATGTCGAGCCTAAGGAGTGCAGTCACAACCCAAGGTGCTCAAAGATTAGGCGTTTGGAATCGCACGTCGAACTCAAGCCCGGGCTGTGCCACAAATGTGAGGAAGCGCAGACGTTCCACATCCACTTTCGACATCTATCGGATATGCAGTCTCTGGAGCGCTACTGGAGTACGCGCTCCCTGTATAACGATATGAGCATTAGTGGTCCGTTCACGATCCCGGTGCCTGCGGTGATGGGCGTGACGGATGGTCGTGAGTGGAGGGCGATATGGCGAAATCAGATTCTACACTGTATAAACGGCGCCAAGAATGGGGCAACGACTGTCTTTATGACGGGACTGAAGGACCTTCTAATCAGCGAACTGGACGCTCGAGGCGAAGAATTTTTGGATGGAGCTATACGGCAGGTGCTTGGCGAGACTGCTCAAGCAGCACCGGCTTGATAAAGGCGCAGACAGCGGATATAAGCATAGGCCATGGGGCTCACGCTTGCTTGGTTCATGGTTTGACAAGTCATGAGGCAGACCAAACTCAGTTCCCTACGCGGGTGGCGCCGCAATATTAGAAAAGGATGGACTCCTCGCTCCCGATTTCAAAGGCAACATGACGCTGCAAGAGAACCACGAATCGAGAATAATACTGGGCCCCGTGCAGACGCAGGCTCAGACGGGCGGGTTTATAAAGGCGTAAATGAAGTGAATGCTGCCGTTGATAGGAGCGAGCCCTACATGCCAGGCACATGGTATGGTTAGGATTCGAACCTTTGCGTCACGCAACTTCTATGCTACGATTCTATAGCTGCGATACTAGTAAGGAACACCTGATGTCGCAGTAGTTTGGAGATAAGAAGGTGCAGCTTGAAGCCGAGTGGTATCCCCGAACCCCTTCGAGCTCCGGGTGATCTTTGCTGGACGTAGAATGCGTCCGTTCGGTCGTCGAATGCGTCACCCCTGATCGAGTCGGGCCATCAAGTCATGCCACAGCAGAGGAGAACCCATGTTGGCTGCCTCTTGACAGCTCTGTCGCCTTGCTCCATCAAGGAACGCGCCAACAGGGTACGAAGGCCGGCCCTCGCCCCAATGAATGTACATTGTGTTAGTCCAATGCTGTCGTCGAGTGTCTCGCACGTCAGCCGCGCCCGGCTCCCGGTCACTGTCAAGGTCAGGGGCAAGGGTATGATGCGCGAGAATATGAGGGGGCCGCGGTTAAGGCTCACCGTCTACTATTTCGACGCCCCCTCCATCTGGCGAGTTCTACCCGTTCGTCATCTCCGCAACGTGTGACGAGATGTCGCCGCGACCTCGCGCTAGTGGGATGAAATGCTTGGCTACGAGCCACCCATTCTGACGCTTTGGTAGCCATCGCGTGCGGCCCGGTCGGCCTGCAGGACAGTCTGGCTCGTGTCTGATACCCGGTGGCTGGCCGTGGGTACCTTGGGCTACTCGTCCGCATCTGCAGTTCACCGATTGTGTCGAGGCCGCTGAGGTATCGGAGGCATGCTGCATGCAACCTCCTGGACTCTCTCGTGTGCGCAATAAAAGCGAGAAGTGGCCACAAAGGATGTCTGCACCCGTGGATACCCGGCAATGTGTCATTCACTCGCGGTCATGCATGCAATCACCACCAGGCGGACTGATCTAATAGGTGCTCGCGTACTAAGCATGTTCCGTCTGGCTCGACACGCGGCTAGAAATATTGGTCCGACAGCACTCTTCCCATACACCGAGTCTCCTGCTTCTCACACGGACATCATTCAAACTCTCCCTCTTTTTACGTTACGGGCAGAGCTTTCACTGTGAGTTGCCTGCCTCCATCACACCGAATCGTGGCCACGAAGTGTGTTGCTATTTCCAGCCCATGTTTTCATAGGTTTGAGAGCATTATGGATGGCACATTGCCTTTGGAGATAGATGGGATGACAAGCCTGGATTGCTACGAGATGTCCCATTTCTCGCCGCCTCCCATCGAGACTGTTAGGGTGTGCTACTATGTTGCCAGGTGTTCCAGAATCGGACACGACTGGGCTAGCAAGCTTGTCCACACACCAGAAGTAGCGTTCGAGGAATACGTCGAAAGCAACATTGCGAGAGATTTTGACGTCAATTGAGGACAGTGGCGTTCGGCCACAGCTTTGTGTCTCCCATGGCGAAGATGAGAGGAGCTTCGACCCTGAGTGGCCGGTGAATGAAGCTGTTGATCTTGCATGGCCCTTGCTCGCTCAAGTGGTGCAGGACACGCTGCAGTGGGCAAGTGGTTATGAGGTGTGAGAAGGGCACGAGACTAGCTGTCAACAATAAAATCGACTGTCTAAACTGCCTTATAACAGTCAATGTCTGGCTCAGATCGACTCAGTATTTCACACGAACAAAGCTGAGTGCACAAGGCGCTGACCGAGCCTTCCCCGGAGCTGCTTGCCTCGGCATGTTGCATCTTGCTGCACCACCTCATCAGACACTGACCCTTGGTATTGCCTTCGTTACCTCTGCCAGTATGACCAGAAGAAGCACCATCCAAGACACCGGCATCAACGTCCTTCTTAACCTCACCTCGATCTTGTATAGCTGGTCTGACGGGGTCGAACATGACCGTGGACGGCGCGTTTTGGCAGGATGAGCGAGGAACGTCCGTCACCCCATCTCTTGACCCCCTGAATGCCATGTGGTGCTGCTGCAAGTGGCGCCAAGTGTTTGCTCCTCTGGGCGCCAGCGCCATTTCCCTGGCCATTCTGACGGCTGGATGCGAGGCGCCAAGGAGCGCATTTCGACGATTGATAGCAATTTTTTCGGCGAGCGAGGGTCGTATGTCTCCCGCGAGTTCAAATACACATTGTAGGCCCCTCGCGCGGCAATTGTCGCACATGCCGTCTTCTGCGTCCTGAAAGCCTGTGCATTTAAACTAGACAAGTATCAGTCCGGGCTTGTATCGAGTCATAGGCCTCTCCATGCTTCTTCTGCAGTCATCGCACGCCGCCACCCTGCGCAGTGGCGTGCGCCGTGAGCGGTATGAGACAGCTGTAAACAGCTGCGTATCGGCCATGCTGGAGCGTACAAGGGCGGCGGCGGCCAGCGTCTCCCTGGAGCCAGAAGGCACAGGCTTTCGCTCTTGTCCTTGGCTTCAGACACACCAAGTAACGGCTAGTCGAGTACTGTCGTGTCGTGAGTTGAGCGAGCTCATCGGTGGTAACTGTGCTGCTGGTGGGGAGAGCGAGATGAAGGAAGGACGCCGGAGAGAGCAAAGGTAGGCGAAAGACGGATGGGGAGGCGATGGAAAGGCCCAGGTTGTCCGGTCGCCCGGACGGCTCAGGCGGTTCAAGTTGCCTCGCTCGTCTGGGCCAACTGCGGAGGTTGCCTTGCTATTGCGTCTGTCGCGTGTGCCAGGCCGTTGAGATCGTCGTGACCGCACCGACGTAGGAGTTGGCAAGATGTGCTGCCGTCTTTGTCGCCGTGGGAGATATTTGGACCATCGAAGGCTGTGTGTGCCCGATCCTCCGAGGCCTCGTTGGTATCCTTATTTGGGCGGATGCCTGTCATCATGTGACGATGTTGAGATACAAGAAGCACGAACTTGATTGTCGAAAACAGGGCAGTCGTGCTAAAGCAGAGAAGTCGCGGGGCAAGGTGGTGCGCGGATGTGGTCCACGAAGGACGAAATGTCGTCCTATTCAGCAGGACACGACAAAGTGGTGAATGTGACTGGAAGCCCCGCGGTATCTTGCGATTGATCAGTGCGTTTATTCCGTTGACAGACCAGGATCGGCTGGTGGCGTAGCTTGAACCCTTCTGGCTCCATTTCTTGTGAGGGCAAGAGTAGTCACGACTAACAGGTCATCGTGCAAGCTACGGAAGATAGCTAGCGTTGTGTGGCCCCTTTCAGCTCGCCGTGACCTTTTTCGTAAGATTTACCCGAGCCCACTCGGCGATGAAGATGGGCTGCACTCTATGACAGTGTGTCGCGTTGGGTGATGCCCGGCTTCGTCACAACTGTCTCACATATCAGCCGCGCCATCCCGTCCCATCGCTGTCACCCGTCAGGGGCAAGAGTAAGATGAGCGGCAATACGAGATGGTTGCCGGCAGGCTCACCATGTACTAGTCTCACCCCCTACCTCTGCTAATTCGTACGTTTTTCATGCTCTTTGCTGCATGTCGGCGGTTCTGCGCGAACGGCCGACGGGGTGGTTGGCTACAAGCCACCGCACTTGACACAAAGGTTCGAGGCCAACGCTCTGCAGCCTGAGTCGTGTGTAGGCTCGCTTAGCTCATGTCTGGTCGCCGGTAGCTATTGATGTGTACCTTAGGTCACCCTTGTGCCATCTGCAAACCATTCAGCCCTTCGAGATCGTTGAGGTATTGGTGGCATGCATCATGTGGCCTTCAAGTCACTCTCATATCTTCGCTCAACGCGTACACTTGTCACAAATAAGGGGCGTATACCGGTAGCATCTGGCAATATTTGCTCACTGGCCTACGCGACGTGTGGCTGGCAACTTGACCTCTTGCGGACTGCGTACAGATCTACCTTGTTCCGAATTGTAGAATGGCAACAGGTCGAGGCTGGCCCATGCCAAGTGCGAATAGAACAGCAAATGTACTTTAAAGAAGCAGGCAGCATCCGATCCCAAGCCACCAGAACTTCTTCATGGGAAGATCGTGTGCGCCAACATCCCAAATGACGAAAGCAAGAGTGAGGAATGTTGCTATGGTGGAGTCGAGCAAGTGCGCCGGGTTTGATGGCATTGTGATTTGGGCGTGCCACCTTCAGAGGTGGCGGATTGATAGCTCCTTTTAAGTGTTGCGCCTTGATATTGTTGCACCATTCTGGGATTGATCCTCACGTCACACCGAAGCGTGTTGCGCATGGGGCAATGGCGGGCCGTGCCGTGAAGCCAAGGTGAAGTGTTCACCTGGCCTGGACCCACCATTACAATTTCATTTCCCAGTTCCCGGTCTGCTGAGGTCACATGGCCACTCTTGGTGGGGCATGACGACCTTAGGTAGCGACAATCATGGGCGGCCTGAAACCCATTGCCATACCACCGTACGACACATCACAGCATTATTCTCGTTCTACGAAGCCAGCGGTACGAGACGTACCTAGCAGGAATCGCGATAAAGCATCTCCTTGAAGTCGGTAAATGCTTCGCACCATCAGTGCACGTCGGTTCACGTTGGTGGGCTACAGCTCGTGCAATTCTTGCTTAACTCCTCGATGCTCGCAGATATGGTAGCCCATTTAGAGCGGCAACAACTTGCCGACGACGAACGCCTTCGGAATCTTGCAGAATTCCTCGTCGATGCTGAGTTCGAGTTCGAATATGACACAGAATTCTGTACAGATGATGGTTTGGGCGAAAAATGTAGCCAAATCTCCTCCCTCATGGGTATGCCGTCCGCATGCGTATGTGCGACCCCTAACAAGCCAGACTTAGCATTATCTTGGCCACTAAAAATGCCTTGGAAGAATTTTTTGGTGATCAGAATTCGTGGCCGAAGCCAAACGCCATTGCTTGTTCAGAGTGTAGCTAGCCTTACCGTCGTACAAGCTTGGGGGAATGGTATAGAGGTGCAGGGTGCAGCAGGGAGCGTGTCACTTTGGCGAGGCATCTTAGTTTGGCTTACTGAAAGTGTCACCGTCCTAGTTCCAGTTGGGACAACCGTGGACTTGCTCATCGCTCAGCCGGAGTAGAGCGGCGCGCCAGCTTGGAATATGATGTGCGACGACGGGCGTCGGGTTTCCGCGGAAGCTTTGATGCCGCTGCTTCGACGACAAGACACGCTATGGTGGTGGTGATGGATGAGGATAGGGTGTCTGTCTAGAGGACAGGGTTAGATCGTGACCAGCAGTGCAGGTTCGCGATTGACTTGCATTGTGGAAATGAATCGAATCCCCAGTTCCCATCCACGGAGGTTATCCGAGCAGCGTTACTGTCTTGGAAGAATTCAGGGGATGGTTGGCTCAGATGCTGCGAGCGGCCAAGTGGCTTTGGCGCCACGAGCTCTACTCCATCCCTGACCATTGACAGGCAATTTCGTGGAACCGCGGTCTCTGGCTTGACGAAGGAAAGAAACTTGGAACTTGGCGTTGGTGTAGCAACGAATCGCACAACTGCCTTGCGGTCATGGTCATCGAGCCGCTCCCATTGTCGTTTGAGAGTCCTTGCATAAGGTCCCGTACAGGCGACACGGAATGCTGTGGCTCCGAAATTGCCATGTTCGTGACGGAAAGTTTCTTCGATAGAGTCGCAGGAATTAATGCTCGTGGACGACGCGCCTTGTGTACTAGATGGGGCGTGGGTCCGCGGAGGGTCGACGATGGTGTCCAGAAGTCTTCTTGAAAACCGTAGGCGACTGTTGAGGGTGTCAATGTCTGTAAGTGGACAGAAAAGCACCAGCCAATCGGCAAGAGCATCGCGAATGATGCTAAAAAGGGTCGAATCCATTGGGAAGGGAGATCCGGTGTCGAGATTGAGTTGCTGGCCATCTACGAAGATGGCCAGCCTGACGTTCGCTGGGTGAGCCATGAGAGGCGAGCAAAATTCCGTAACCGGTGAATGAGGACTCCAAGCCCCTTTTGGAAGTGGCTGCATGTACCTCTGTCGGGTGGGCAGAATCTGCGTGGCGATAAGGGGTCAGTCAGATGGGCAGGAGCTCGATCAAATATCCACATGCAATATGTGACTTGTCGCAATGAGCAAGCCTCAACTGCATGCAAAGTGTGATCCTTGTCAAAATTAAGGCGGGAAGTGTAGGCTGGGGTGAGTTGAGACCGGGTGCCGTGACCTTGAGCGGAACGGGGCGACACTGAAGGAAGAGGGAGGGGGTGTGCAGATACACCAGGCGCGAGAATCGGCGTTTGGCGTCTGTTGGGGCGGACTTGTTCTACCAATCGTATGACAGCCACTTCTTTCCGTCTAGTCAATATGAGTCTCAACAGACGTGGCTTTTCATGCGACCGGCGGTTCAAACCAGTATGTGGCCGCCCAGGGGGCAGGGGGCAGGGGATCCGTCGAGCTGAAGGCAGCTGATGAGCAAACTCCAGGCTAAACGAAATGGGATTGTGCTGCGTATGTCCGATGATAGATGACCAATCGATCCTGTGGCATGCTATCCCGCGAGAGAGAAGAAAGGCGTGGCTTGGCACGCCGTTGACTACGTAGGTGGCCAGAAGCTCGGCCAGAGGGAACTCTCGACTGTCCACACAGTGATGCCAACATTCGACGTGGAGACGATCACGTCGGATACTCATGCTGGAATAGGACCAGTATCAGCATTTGAAAGTCCGACATCTCACCGGCTGCCGCGACTAATACCAGAGTTCACAGGCAGCCCATGTCGGCTGCAGACAGTGAGGACTGAGTGGGCCCGAATGGGCTGCTCAACACTGCAAAGCTGCGGAGCATGCCTGAAAAGAGATAACATTCGTGTATTGAGTGCTAGTGTACTGAGAAAAAAAACACTGTGCGGCAACCCCCTCAGTTCTTGTCCCAATTGACACCTTCCCAATCATTATCGGTGTGGCCACTTCGCGGTGTGTTCACCGTTTGGCGATCATGACTTGCAACAGAGGAAGGAGACACCGGTTCTGCTGCCACTGGCGACGCCACGCGCTGATCACTAGCACCCAGGTTCGGTGGGGGAAAACTATCGACAGGAGACGAATCTGGAGCCCTTGATGTCCGTTCCAGCAGAGCCGTGAACTCGTGGGCCGGGAATGAGCGCGGCGGTTTGACAGCCCCAGGTGCGAGTATAGGTGGCTCATTGGGTCTGTCTTGTCCCAAGAGTCTGGGTGCGGCCGCGAAAGCTGCAGGGGGCGTGGTATGTCTCGGGCCTGATTGCACTGTTGAAGCTGATCGACTCGACG